AGTCCGGGAGGAAGACACTGGTATAAACCGATGATCAGTATCTATAAATTACATGGTAAAAAACAATAATTAATCAAGCAATAGTAAAAAAAAAGTGTAAGGTGATGGCTAAATTAAAAGAGAACTCTTTCTACGCACTACTCGTCTCTGTTGAGAAGAAAAGGGATAGTTGTCATTTTACAGTCCTTTAGCTGAAACAAGGACAAAGGTGACTTAAATTTAGCTAATTTTAGGAGCATCTTCAATTAGGGCGGAAATTTCTTATCAAAAAGAGAGTTCATATTTCTGCAGCACCCGCAGTCCAAAGCTGTTATCCAAAATAGGGTCATTATTGACAGGCGAAATTTGTTTTTGAGATCGTACGGAGGATTTAATTTCGAATACAGCCTTTTTTATCAATTCGGATTCTCTTTTTAACTACGATATAAAATCATAAAAAAAAAACTTTGAAGCTTTGCTACTGAGTGCAGAGAGCAGATACTACTTGTACGCTTTTAGGCAAGCGATGTCGCAGGCATAACTTCTAAACTTCTCAGACAGAGCTTGCGAAGGCAAAGATATCTGTTGTAAACTTCTTAATTTTCAAGAAAGCTCGTTGATTGTTAAAGGAGTTCAGTCACGGTATTTTGAGTTGTTTTTGCCACATACAAAATTACCTTTAAATGGTAGGAAACCTGAAAATAACAGTTTAATAAGATAGAAAAACACCAAAGAGATAATGACAAACTATAAAGGAACAAGGATGGCTAAGGATGGAAAAGACTGAAACGGATTACAAACGACGAATTTGAAAAAATTAAGGCTAAACTTTTCAATAAGCGCAAACCGTGATTGAGCCCCTTTAATCTGAAATATTGAAAAACATGACGTGTCACTCTATACTCGGGACAGGCAATTAGATTAATAATACGTCTATTTTACAGGAAGAGTTTAAAAATAGGAAATTTCATGCTTGACTGAAAAGGAGGAATACGTAAATATAGGATGCTCGAAGATGCGGGAGAGATGCATTTTTAATTGTTTTTGAAATTAAAAGCATCATTAAATGCTGTCGCCGTAAAATACACCAAACAAGCCAGGATTTGGAGATTCCTGAGGGAATAACCATTCAGAGGTACAAAAACAGTTGTAACACCAGCAAAGAGCATTATCTGAAGCTTTTACTTTTAAGAAAAATAATAATAATGAAAAAAAAAAAACCGAGCAGTTCCTGGTCAGCGATGGTTATATTTCGCCTTTATATTTACAACAAGTTTGTTTCAGGCGTGAAAATAATCTGAAGGAAGACCTGAAGAAAGTTTCTCGACAGACCTTTCCATCAAATTCCACTGAGCTTCTCAAACTCATTAATAATTTATCAAGTTTAAACAAAGGAAATTATAGCCGTGAGGTTGTTTGAATATCTGCCTATTTCCAAATAGGCCATTTTCGAAGAAAAAATTAGCTATAATGATGACAGGAAGTTTCCAGAATTTAAGAATATTTTCTGAAATTGAAAATAAAAGCTTCGAGCCTAAAATTTAAGTTATGAATTTGTATTTTTGTCGTTATTTTGATGTTTATTATCAAACAAAAGAGCGACAATGCTG